GTAACTTTAAACAAAGATGGGCCACATGAGAAGCTGTGGTCCATCTTTAGTGCATCATCTTTAGTGCACCTGGCATGAATTTTCATTTAGGAAGACGAAGATCTCCAGGACATGAGTACCGCTCCACCTTCCCAGGCCCTATATCTTTCTGGCTATTATGTGAGAAGGGGCACAGCTATCAGCTATTTGAAGATTCTGCCATTTTCCTCCCCAGTCACAGAATGTCCACCCTCTTTTGTAATGCAGTCAGGGCCATTAGGGCTTGGGGGCTCCACACATCTGTGATCACCCCTTCCCCTACTGGGACCTCCCAGCTTCATCCTTCTCACTGGAACAGAAACTGGAAAAACTCTCACTTCCCTGTCACCTTTGACCTTTAGAAACACAGCTTAGGCACCCCTTTCTTGTCAAGGAGCAAGAAAAGGATCTTCTACTCCAATAATTTTTCTTTCTCTCTAATATCATTGTCCTTCCCTGATACATTCTACCAAAAATGGATTCCTGTCTTTAAAAATCCTAAGATATCAGGTATGATCTGTTCACACCTCTTGGTTTTATAGATGGAGAAACTGAGGCTGGAAGGCTGGGGGAGGGGAAATGAGAGTTATCTGTCCTGATCCTCTCAGGCAGATAAAAGCAGAACCAGTCCTAAAAACCTAAGTGTCCTCTTTCTATTGTTCCTATTGGCTTCTTTGTTGTTGTTGTTGTTTCTCTTTTAAAGGCCACCTTCTGCTGCTCTGAACTTTTCTTTTTTTCTTTTAAAAAATATTAAATTTCAGTATCTTTAGGGTTATGGGTGGTTTTTGGTTACATGATTGGTTAAATCGTATAGTGAGGAAGTCTGGATTTTAGTGTACCCATCACCTGAGTAGTGTACCTTGCACCCAGTAGGTAGTTTTTTATTCCTCATCCTCCTCACACCCTTCCTGCTTCTAAGTCTCCAGTGTTCATTATACCACTTCACATGCCTCTGTGTACCCAGAACTTAGTTCCCACTTACAAGTGAGAACATGCAGTACCCAGAACTTAGTTCCCCCTTAGAAGTGAGAACACGCAGTATTTGGTTTTCCATTCCTGAGTTACTTCACTTAGAATGATGGCCTGCAATTCCATCCAGGTTGCTGCAGAAGACATTATTTCATTCTTATCATATGTATATTTTATATATATCACACTTTATCTACTCTTATCTACTCATTCTTTGATAGGCATATAGGATGATTCCATATATTTGCAACTGTGAATTGTGCTGTGATAAACATACACACATAGGTATCTATTTGATGCAATGACTTCTTTCCTTTTGGGTAGATACCCAGTAGTGGGATTGAATAGTAGATTGACTTTTAGTTATTTGAGAAATCTCCATGTTGTTTTCCATAGAGGTTTTACTAATTTACATTCCCACCAGCAGTGTATAAGCATTCCCTTTCCCCCACATCCATGCCAACATCTATTGTTTGTTGACTTTTTAGTAATGGCCATTCTGGTTGGGATAAGGTGATATTCTCACCATGGTTTTAATTTGCATTTCCCTGATGATTAGTGATGTTGAGTATTTTTCATATGTTTTGGGTAGCTGTATATCTTCTGTTGATTTCTTATGGCATTCCTGTGTGATTTTTGTTTTTGATTTATTTTGTCTTTTTTTTTCTTTCCATTCAAATTTTACTTGCCTATAGGATAAGGAAGCAAAATGTTTGAAAATTTTTGTAATGAAATGCAGCAATCTTCTACTTCCCCTGTTCCATTTTTTTTTCCTTAAGACAAACTCTTTTAACTCTTCTTGTTCAGTTATTTTGATATCTCTAAATAACATACTTGCTTCTCTACTTCCTGATTGCTAGTATAGCTACTATCTGTTGACTTCCTGCTATGGAGGGTGAAGATTAAGTCCTTCCACCACCCCAATACCTCATCACCTCAATACCTCATCACCCATGGGAATCTTATCCAACCCCCACTTCATTCTCCCAGTTACATTATAAGGCAATTTAGTTCCCAGGTTGGTGTTTTGTTTATTTTGACCTCTCTCTTTCATGAAAGACATTCTTATAAGATATTTGTTAATTCTTAGTTATGTATTCATATATTTTTCAAACTTATTGAAATATAAATTATAACTGTATATCAAAGTATAAATTATTAAAGTATACAGTTCAATTACTTTTGACAATTTTGTGCACCATGTGTTCTGCACTCTCACTAATCGATTTAGAGGCAAAAAATACCCTCCTGTCCCTTTATAATCAGCCCTTTCCACCTTCCACCCCAGGCAACCATTGCTCTCTTTTCTGTCACCATAGATTATTTTCACCTCTTTTAGAATTTCACAAAAATGGAAACACAGTCATGCCGTAAATCCTCTAGATTCTCTCACTCAGGATGCTTTTGAGATTCACCTATATTATTGTGTGATTCTGCAGGTCACTCCTTTTTATGGATAGTAATATTCCATATAAATATACCACCATTTTATTTATCCGTTCATTTACTGATAGACATTTGTGTTGTTTCCTGTGTGATCCATTATGAACAATGCTGCTGTGGGTATCTCTATGAAAATCATTTTGTGGACATGTCTTTTACACTCTCTATATCAGCAATCCCCAACCTTTTTGGCACCAGGGACCAGTTTTGTGGAAGACAAGTTTTTCCACAGACAAAAAGGTGTGGGGTGTAGGGGATGGTTTAGGAATGAAACTGTTTCACCTCAGATCATCAGGCATTAGACTGTCATAGGAGCGTGAACCCTATTGTGAACTGCACATGTGAGGGACCTAGGTTCATTAGATTCTATAAAAATCTAATGTCACTACTGATCTGGCAGGAGGCGGAACTCAGTAGTAGTGCTCGACCAACACTCAGCTCCTGCTGTATGGCCTGGTTCCTAACAGACCCTGGACCAGAACTGGTCCGAGGGATGGGGACCCCTGTTCTACATGATCTTATTTAATTTTGACTTGTTGTAGTAAACATAGTATATTCCTTTCCCACATTAAGGGAACTGACAAAGAGTTACTTCATACATCCTTTCCCAAAGGGATCAGGACTGATCCTTGAAGAGTTAGTTCCTGGATGGTTCTAACCCTGGCTTTGCATACAATCACATGTTAAGGTGTCTTTAATGATCCAGAAAAAATAAATCATGGTGGTTGTCTTAGTTCATTCAGGCTGCTAGAACAAAGTACCTAGACTGGGTGGCTTATAAACAACAGAAATTTATGTCTTACAGTTGCAGAGGCTGGAAAGTCCAAGATCAAGGCACCAGCAGATTTCTTGTCCGATGAGAGATCAATCAATGCTTCATATATGGTGCCATCTTGCTGTGTTTTCACATGATGGAAGGAGTGAATGAACTCCTTTGGGCTTCTTTCATATAGGAATTAGTCCCATTCATGAGGCAGTTTGCCCTCATGACCTAATGACCTCCTAAAGGCGCCACTTTTTAATATTATTGTATTGGGGATTTGATTTCAATTTAGGAATTTTGAGCAACACATTCAGACCATAACAGTAGTATCTGCTGAAGTGGCAGCAAAATAATTGTGGCAAACGGTCCTAATCTTTTTTAAAAAATATATCCAATAAAAAAAGTAAATGTCTTGGGAGTAACATATTGAATGTCATTGTTTAGCTGAGAACAAGTCCCTTGGAAATCTCATGGTCCATCATTGTCAATAATTAAGGACAATAATCCTTCAAATAAAGTGTTTGTCACAGTTACATTTTAAGAATAGATTAGCGTACATTTATAAACACGGTTGCAAATATGGTGTTGTATATCAAAAAAGTACAATTTTAAAATGCTACAGAAAATTAACTCAAAATGGTATTCTGATGGTCTTCATATTCTTTTTGTTGTCTCATTTTTTTTTTTTTTTTTACTACCCCAGTGACTTGTTTCTATGATCTACTCTGAGTGGTCTAGAAATAGACCTTTCTTTGCACATGGCCTTCAGAATGTTAAATTAAAAGAAAAAAACTTATATTGTCTTTTTTATTAACAACATTTGAAAAACAGGAATTATAATTTTTTAAAATTTTAGAGCTGAGTTACAAAGAGGATTTTTTTTTGTATGCTTTGTCTTTTTTTTTTCTTTAAAAGTATTTGGAAAGCAGTCTTTCATGAGGCTGGAGAATGGGTGTTTCATTTCTATCTTATTTTCTTCCTCCAGCAGCATGAGTGTCCTCTTGGCAACATGTATTTTTCTAATTTAGGAGTGTTTCTCTACATGTCAGTCTTGTTCCTCCAGATGTCCATGGCGTGGCTCATTATGTTCTCCATATTTCAGGACTGTGCTGCAAAGCTTGAGCAATATTTTACCCTCCCTGGGCTCTCAGAGAGACATGGGAGTATTGATGTGCTTTGTTTCCCAGCTTAAACAAACGTGTAGTTTCCCGTAAGTAGGGAAACAAATATGGAAACCTACCACTATTTCATAATGTCTTATTTCATAGAAGTCTTATAGATATATATTTTTAAAAGTATCACTATTGAGATATGCGCAAATAGGGCTTTAAAAGGATGTAGGCTGGCCGGGCGCGGTGGCTCATGCCTGTAATCCCAGCACTTTGGGAGACTGAGGCAGGTGGATCACAAGGTCAGGAGATTGAGACCATCCTGGTTAACACGGTGAGACCCCGTCTCTACTAAATATACAAAAAATTAGTCGGGCATGGTGGCAGGCACCTGTAGTCCCAGTTACTTGGGAAGCTGAAGCAGGAGAATGGCGTGAACCCAGGAGGTAGAACTTACAGTGAGCAGAGATCGCACCACTGCGCTCCATCCTGGGCGACAGAGCAAGACTCTGTCTCAAAAAATAAAAAGAAGGATGTAGGCTGTTAAAATGCAGGGCAGTGAGGTTGCCATAAGCAGTGGTTCCACTGTGCCTTGCTCAGTGAACATGCTGCTGCCCTGCCCCCTCCAAGGGCACAAGTGATGGTTACTGATGACCTTTCTGTAAAACCACAACCTTCTGTCTTTTTCCTGATTTCAGGTAGATGCGCTGAGATTACGACTGGAAGAAAAAGAATCTTTCCTCAATAAAAAAACGAAACAGCTGCAGGACCTCACAGAAGAGAAGGGGACACTGGCCGGTGAGATTCGTGACATGAAAGATATGTTAGAAGTGAAGGAAAGAAAAATCAATGTTCTTCAGAAAAAGGTGAGTAGCTGACATAAGCCCTTCAAGTGGGGTATCATCCATGTTTTGTCATTTTAGAAAAATTTTGAGCACATGGAAAATAAGTAATCTTTTATGAATCTTAGATTAGGAAGTATAGGCTGATTTTCATACTGGTGTTTCACTTACTGGTAGTTGTATCATGTCGATATTAGCATTGCTTGATGAATTTTCTACTTGATTACCTAGAAACTAAATAGTGATGATTTTTTTTTATTCACCAGCTTAAACATAGAGAGAATTGTACAAATTTAGATTCAAATTTAAAATAACCAAAGGTCCCAACAGTTAATTTTTTCTTCATTACTGAGAGTTAGCAATGTATTTTGTGGGTCCTGAATGTATTTTAGATACATTTGATATTCACATAAACTGTAGTAGATCCTATTCTGTGAAGCCCATACAGATTTTTGGGAGGCAGGAGTAATGTTTTACACCCATTACTTAATTGAAATCAATGGAAAGAATGTATAATAATTTCCAGCCACAGTGATGCAACATAGAAGATGCTCGACCTTGTTAAGGTCATTCCTTCCTTCCTTTAGCAGCTCATTTTCTACCTTATAGGGGACCCTGATTTTGTGATAGCATCCCGATTTTCTTTTGGAGAATTCCTGTTTGCTACTCTATATAGTTTTAGTGGGACCACTGAGTATCCTGCCTTCTCTTAGTAAAAGGGTAGGTGAGAAGAGACACCAATGGCTGCTCTTTTACAAAAAAAAAAAAAATGTGTTGGGAAGATACAGGGCTGTCAGATGAACAGGCGGCCAGAGTGGAAACTAGGTGGAAATCAGTGGTGGGCAGCAGGAGCCTCTGGCGTGGATGCTGCCATCCACAGGCATGCTGTCAGGTGCTCTGCTGCAGCTGCAGCAAATGGAACTAACTGGCCCCTGCTCTTGGTGTCACCTGCCATCATCATTTCTCACCTGGCGTGGATCTACAACATCCCAGGTGATTTTCTTGTATCCTCCCTCATGTTTCCTACAGCCTATTCTTAACACAGAAACTGGATTAATCCTTGTAATGCATAAAACAGTTCATGTCACTCTCTGATCAAAACTCTCTAGTCACAACCAGTTACATAATTTTGGGGGTCCATTGCATAATGTAAACATGACGCCCCTGTCCCAAAATTGAGAATTTCAGGATGGTAACATCAGAGCATAAACCAAGCATAGGAGCACAGCTGTCTCCACCTCCATTGGCTTCCATTGTCACTCAGAGTAACAGTGGAAGTCCTTGCAAGGGCCCAGGACACCCTGCAGGATTAGGCTATCTCTGGCCAGTCTGGCCTGCTGTCTCACTGCCTTCCCCTTTGCTCAGACTACACCAGACACTGTGGCCTTCATGTTCTTCTGCAGACACGTGAGGCATGCTGTCTTGGTACCTGACATTTACTGTAGCCTTTACGGAGACACTCTCATTCTGAGCCCATGCTGCCCATTGTGGTAGTCACGAGCCACATGTAGAGATTAAGACCTTGACTGAGATGTGCTGCAAGTGTGAACTGCACATCAGATTTGGAAGACTTATGAGAAAAATGGAAGATCTCTCATGAATCATTTTTTACTTTGATTATATGTTGCAATGAAAATATTTTGGACATATCAGGTAAAATAAAATACATTGTGAAAATGAATTTCACCTGTTTCTTTTTACTTTTTTAATGTGATTACTAGAAAGCTTAAAATTAACTGTGTGACTCACACTATGTTCCTATTGACAGAACTGCTTGAAATAGCCACATGGCTCATGCCTTTGCTTCTTTCAGGTCTCTGTTTAAATAGTGCTTTGTTGCAGGCCTTTTTTGTCCATCCTGCATAAAATCGCATGACCACCCACATTCCTGCCCTCTGTCTTCTGTCATCCAGTTTTATTTTTTTAAGTAGAACTTTTAACCATCTGACAAATGTGTGTGTGTACATATATATATATTTAAAATTTATATAATATGTATTAAATATATAAATAAATATAATATGTATTTAAATATACCTAGTTCATTCATATTACTAGAATATAAATTCCAAAAGGGGAGACCTTTCCCCCATATCTTTAGTACCCAAAAGTTACTAAATGCTTAATAAATATTTGTTGAATGAATGGATAAATGAACTTGCTCTAGAGTCAAAGTCTTGCATAGGAGCATTTGATTGGCCAAGGTTATATTACATCCTCACTCCCTGCTGCCAGGAGCACTTATTCTTGTGAATTTGATTCAAGGACAGAGCTATGCAAAGATGACAACAATAGTTGGCATTCATTTGTTTCAGTGCAGAGGTTGTGATGAGCATTCTAATATCTATTAGGATATTCCCCACGCTTTTGACTTTTCATAAGTGAATTCTCTAATCTTTCTTAAACTCTGAGAGCCAGTTAGTCTCTTCCTGTTCTGTTATGGTCAGCCAGAGCCTAAATGGTACATTTACGTACAGAGTAGTGCATCACATTTTAAAAACAAAGTTAGATTTAAACCAAATTATAGAGGATTTACCAAAGAGTTAAAAGTAGAGACACTGCATTTGTTAGAAACTCTCAGCATATTGGCGATTTGATGAATCATATTATTAATTCATTTCTGTAGAGATCTTCATGGACAAGGTCCTGGTCATTGGAGCCTCCTCTTGTAGCACTAGCTAATTGTTACAGAAATTTAGAAGAGAGCTGAGCAGAGATTACTAAGGACCCTTGAATCAAAGGGGCTGTTAGGGTACATGGGAATAACAGAGAAATGGTTATAGTAGCCTGTCTTGGAGCATGTTCTAAGGATTCAAAATAAGATTTTTCATTTAAAATATCCAGCTGCAAATAATAACAAAGGTTGCATTTATTGAACTTACTTATATTGAACACTGCTGGATACTTTATTTACTCATGTAAATAGTGCTTGTTACATGCACTGTTTACTTACTCTTGACCACTACCTGGTGAGATGGGCACAATTATTAATCTAAGGAATTGTGGAATATTGAGGCTATGGTAAGCTTGCCCAAGGTCACATAGCCTAGATAAAAGTATTTTTTGTCTTTAGAAATGTATAATAAAATAATTATTGTAAATTAAGAGAATAAGCCTCATTTTTTAAAATTTCACTTTTTATGATGATGACACCAGGTGTGAGAATGAATTAAGGAAAAATATCACACTTGTCCATTTTGTCACAAGTTGAGACTAAGTGCACTCATTCTTGAGGAATAAATGACAACAGTTTTCTCAGTGAATATTTTGGGATGGCACTTACAATGCATAAGTGACAAATGACCACTTTTACCAATGCAAATATTTTGCAGAATTTTAAACTTTCCTCCACAGCCATACTTAAAAGCTTGAGAACCAGTCTGGAAGTTCTAGAACAAAATCAGTTGTATATTATGGCTCCTTTTGGCAACAGGATTATGATATCACTTGTTTAAGTCATGTAGACAATGGGTTTGGAAATGTTTCATGTTTATTTGGAGAGGTTGCTCAGCTTCAGGTTTTTAAACCAAGTTTACCAATACTTTTGGGGAGGAAATAAAACCACTGGCAACGTAGCAAAGCCACAGGAGTTCTATTATACCTGCAATGTGAAAGGGAAATAATCCCTAGAGAAGTGATGCATATGATTTAGAAACTGACTCAAAATGTAGAAATAATACAAAAACAAATGGGCCAATGAAATATTGTCTTTAATTCTGGAGACTCCTTGGAGCTTAGACTACATTCAGCATAATTGGCTGTTTTAGGGCAGGCTTGGATTGAAATAGCATAAGCTTTGGATTAGGGTGTGTTGGCATGGAAGAATAATAAGCTCATGTCAATGTCAGACATGCAGTATTACTTAATATTTCTTTCTCATAGACTCTTTTGCAACCCTGTGTTGATGCCAGTGGAACTAGGTACGCTCCTTTCCTGGCCACGTTTACCCTGGCAAAGCTAGGCTTGCATTTCATATCTGTCAGCTTTGCCTTCAGAGCTCTGGGTCTCAGAAGTCTTGTGTGCTGCATAAGCCATGTAGACAGGCATGGACACGATGCTCTAAGTATTTCATCACTTGAAGAAGGAAGTGAGGCTGAATAAACAGAAAACCCCAGGTGGAGGAGCATCTCTGATGAAGCTTTTGTAGGAAGACAGAGGTCATCTAGAGTGGATTTTTGGCCCTACCATCATACTTTTGGCTTTATTCTGTAATTCCAAGACATAGAGTTCTCTTAGTAGGGGACAAAAATGCACGTGTATGAAAAGTGTTTAGTGAAATATTCCCATGGGGCTGTGACACTGAAATCAGAAGAGCGGTACGGTTTCCATGCTGAAGCTGTAATTTTCTGTTCCCATACCTGAATTTAAACTGTAACTGATGAAGTGCTATCTGACTATTGAGTTTTTGTAGGAAATGTCATAAAACCTTGATGACACTGTACATTTGGAAAGCGTATAATGCCCAGGATTTTAGGACATGGTAGCATTGTTTGAACCCGATCAAATTCAGACTCTTATGCAGTGCATAGATTCTTACAGCATAAACTTGCTACCCACGAATTTTTTTTTAAACTCATTAAAACTGGACAAAAATTCTATCTCCATTTTCATTCTAGGCCTTAGTCCCATAAGCAATGTGAATTTATAGAACAGAGGTACTTTATTTATTAGAGGTAGAAAAACAGATGGTGATCTCTCTGGAAGCCAAGTTCACTGGCTGCCTACTGAACTTTGTGGATTGCCCTGTGGGTTGGAAAAGGCAGAGAGGGGTGAATGGAGTTGGCTCCTGGGAGTGGTATATATGGACCTTCCCACTTCAGCAGCTTGATTCTACCTATTTGGAAGTATGGTGGTGAAAATTCTGAATGATGATAACCTCAGGGGTAAGGACACTGTGGGATTACTGAGTTTCTTCCAGATTTTTTTTTTTAATTTTTTTAAAGTAATACCTGAGAAGATAGATACAGAACATAGAGATTTCCATGTTAGTGTAAAATTGAAGTAAAGTGTGGAGGACTTTTTAA